GTGTTGTGAACTTCCGGTTTTTCAGAATAAAACTGCTTTAATTATAAGAATATATTTAATCTAAATTACGCCATATAAACATTGATTTTAATTTCTTACATGACCATTGATTTTGTCAGCTTTCATAAGAGGAATTTATCCTTTTTAGCAAGCCAGGGAACTTCCTTTTAACGGTTATGCTATTTCCGCTCAGGGGAGCATTAACAATCCATTAGTTAAGGATAGGTAACAAAGCAGACCAGATTAAGGCAATCTTATCAACTTTGGCTGACTAGCTATTGTTTATATTTACAAAACGGTATGGCATTGACCTTAAATGCTAAATGGTGGGATATGTTTCGGCAGTTCGTTTTTTGCAGAGTATAGGCAAATTATTGATTACCATCTAAACCATTAACTTTGAGACGTGCTAAAATGCTAACTAATTTCTGGGTTCATGACTCAAGTCTGCACCACCCCATAAGTATGCCTGCTTTGCCGAGTAGCGGTGCTAAATTATAATAAGTTATATAAGTAATAATCCATGTGTTAAGATGTATCAGCATTGGCTAGGTAGGTTTTTTTTAAATTTACAAAACAGCATGGCATTGATCTTAAATGCCAAATATTAAGATGAGCTAAAATGCTAACTAATCTCATTCCCGGACTACTCCATAGAAAGGCCTGCCTTGCCTTGTTATCGTTGCTAAGCTATGAGTGGACAATTACCCCACAAGAATGGGTTGAGAATGCATTTGTTAAAGTTAGTTATCTTCTAAACTTGTTCTTGGTTGAAGCAGACCAGATTAACAAGCAGTCAACTCTCAATTATTCTTATAATAATGATAATGTACAATTATTTGAACCACAACGAAGATAGAGTGAGATTTTTTGTTTCTTCAACGAGCACAATATAAATGTAAAAGTCAAATAGCTTAAAATGTCACAGAGAGACACATGAAACGCACCGGCTGTGCCTCAAACAGTGTTCATATTGATGTCACCGAGCTATTATTGTAGATGAACACAAATAACTGGGCCGACAAAAGTCAGTCTGCAACTTTGCATAGCGTGAAAATCGTTGCTCTCACAATATTCTTCATGTGACATTTCCATGCTCATCACAGCTGCAAAAATATCACAGCGCTGAGGTAAAGCTGGGGCGGGGGGGTTTGAGGAAGACATGGTGTGCTATGGAAGGAGCGAGAGAGGGAAGGTGGTCTGTGTGTGCTGGAGGACAGGGACATGATGATGATGAATCTGAAGTACGATTTTCTCTAAACGAGACGGCTAATGTGTGACCTTTGCTTTGCCCTAATCATGGCTCTCATCACACGACCACAACCATGCAAGCCAATCCAAACACACACACACACACACACACAAAATCCTTCATCACACTCTCATGGATGCCGAGGGCATAAATGATTAGCCAGACGAGAGAAGCGCGGCCTGTTAGCGGCTAATCACCCTCTCACTCTCCACTATCATTGAAATGAAATCATACTTTTGTTTCTTTCTCGCACATTTTTCCCTTTTCTATTTCTATCCCTCAAGTTTTCTTCTCTTTTCAAACTCTACTTAGCCATTTGCATTTCATGTAAAGTTAATGTGCATCTTAATGTTTTGAATGAAGGATCAATATCCACGTATTCATCATGAACAGCTTGGAGATTCAAAAACATAGTCCTTATCTTTTATTTCTTTCTTTCTTAGCATTTCTTCTCCATTTATTGTTTTTCTTATTCAAAATAAATTCTCTATTTCATCTTCCTATCTCTTTCTCCTTGCTCCCTGCTGTTAATAAAAAACAACTCTGCTTTCCATCCACTTTTCTTCTCCTGCGTTCATCAAACTCCATCCGCTTTAATCCATCTCTCTGTCTCCAGCCCCAGGACCCAGCTGTGTTCGGCCCCGGCTCAACCCTGTTGGAAAGCTCCAAACATTACCTGACGATACGTTACACACTCCTGCCTTACCTCTACACACTCTTCTACAAAGCCCACACCACGGGGGAGACTGTTGTTCGTCCTGTCATGCACGAGTAAGTCTTTAAAGATCATTGTAAAGATGCTGTCCTCATGATATCAGTTCAGGTCCTTGCTTTGGGGAATTGAACATGTATAGCATATGTGTATGTATATGTTTGTAGCTGAGAGAGCTAATGCACCTTAATAAACACACGTGAACATCGTTCTTAGTCCAAGATGTTCTGTCATCCTTTTTGAGGTTTTACCTTTTCTCCAGTGTGTATAGGTTGTTGTGCATGTAAATGGTCTGCAAAGGCAAACCCCCCCCCTCCCCCTGAAACGCCTCCATTGGACTCCTTGTTTACTTCTGTCACAATTAGGGCTGTCAAACTATTAAAAATGTTAATCAGATTAATCACAGCTTAAAAATGAATTAATCCTGATTAATCACCATTCGAACTATGTCCAAAATATGCCATTTCTTTAT